CCCCCCCCTTTCTGCTACCTGTAGGTTGTATCAACGCTTAGAGTAGCTGCAGCTAAATCCATGGGGGGTATCCAAGCAGGTAGTGTGTTCCCCGAGACCCACTTGGTCCATTCAAACAAGCCTGGCTCTATCCGAATTTTCAGGTTGTTCTCTTGTTGCATACCTGGAAAAGGCAGGAAAAAAAGCTCTGTATCATTGAACGTGGCTGTGGAGGAGGGCAGCAAGACTTTGTGGCTCTAATGCTTAGGTTTGATTCTAAATAGTGGGTTTTCTTTTGACACTAAGTAGTCAGTTGATTAATAGTGATTCTGAAAAGAGGAAGTAGTTGATCTACATACTTGGCATGTGATGTACAAAGGCATGTAAACTGCTGGCCAGCAATTACATGCAATATTCTGAACTTAGGCGTGACTGCATTTTGGAGCTGTTTTTCAACTGTTTTCAATACCAGGAGGTCTCATGCCTCGTTGCTGTTTCCCTTCCTAGTTTATGCAATGCTTTACTCTTCCTGTGGCAGTGACTGCGGAAGCACCGTGGCAGCACAGAGCTGAGCTGGATGTGCCCCAAACACACTCCTGCCTTCTGTGTGCGGACAAAACCCACCTCAGACCTGTGCTGGCCGTGGGGCTTGCACACCTCTTCCTATATACTCATCCCACCATGCAGTAAGAAGAGGGCTCCTTCCAGGTGGTGTTGCTCTGCTGCAAAGTACACTCCCACGGAAATAACCCTCACCCTGAACTACTGTTTGTTTGGCTTTCCCATGCCACGTTGCCTTTTATCTGGTTGGCAGTGTTTTTCCCAGAAGCCAGAAGAATGCAGCCTTTCCTGCTCAATAGGTTCTTACCTTTCAGGATATTGTGTGCTGTCTGTACGCACCGAAGGGACGGGGAGCTGTAGATGTAGTCTACAATGGTGTTAGTTTCTAGCAAGGCTTCTCCTGCAAGCAGATTTTAAAGCATGAATAAAAACTGACAAATGGCATGGTAGCAGCAACAGCAGCATGTAGGTATCTGCCACCCAGCTAGGAGCTGCAGGAGCTTCCCAGCTGCACTGCTTGTGTCTCAGGAAATGAATATACCCATCATATTTTATTATTATTGCGTGCACAGCTGTGGAACTGGGACATTTTTCTATGTTTATTGTGCCATGTGCTTCTGCGTACTTAACCAGTATGCAAAAAAAGCACAGCAGCTTTTGCTCTATTTCTTTTTCTCTTGTACTTAGCCAAAAAGTGAATAGTGCACCGAGGGGAAAAACTGTAGAGAGAGCTTGAATTTCATTTAATTTCATTTAAAAGTCATAAATCAGACTGATTCAACTTAATTCAAGCCCAACTTAATTCAATTGGCTCGATTCTTTGCTAGTATAAATTACCATTTCATTACACAGGTGGAAGATCACTGAAAATGAGATAAGAATCAGCTCCACTCTTAGGGTTATTAATATTCTCGCAAAGCCTAAGGGAACCAAATGAGAACAGGGCTCTGAGCATCACACAGACCTGTGCTACGAGAGTCATGTTTTTGTTCCATTTGAAGAGGCAGGGCACAAAGGTGGGAGTAAGAAGGGGTTATTAACCTCGACTTCATGTGTTTAATGATGGCTGTAACCATGTCAAAGCAATCTCTAAATCTCTTGGGAGAAGTGGGCTAATTTAGAAAGAGCTGCATGTGTAGCAGCCTTCTGCCATGGGGCTGCTGCTCATTTGCTCAGTTGTGGGAGGAATTAGGGCTCCAGCAAGCACCAAGGTCAGGTCGGTGCTGCAGCAGCACAGGCAGCTGGATGGTGCCTGGTCACGTACACACTTGTGTGCTGGGATCATTTAATGATGGCAGCCAAGTGAGCTGCGATTGCTCCCAGATTTGCCTTCTGTTATGTGCATATTGCAAACCTTGATGCCATGTGGCCTGGAGAGCGTGCATCCTGCTGCCGTGCAGTGATTTATTTTTGTTTAGAAAGCAAGTATAATTTTAGCTGCCCTACTTTGAATGTGACCAACGTGAAGTGCTCCGAAGGATCTGAATTTGAGAAAATGCAAAATGCTGTTCTCTGAAGATCATGTCCTTTGGGGAGTCGGGCTCCCTTAGTCAACAGGCTTAATATTTGCTCCTTGATTACTGAATAATCATCTTTCTGTACACAAACTAACAGGATCAGGAGTCAGGGATGAGGATGGGTGAATACTAGGAGTAATTTGCACTGTGTTTTCGCCATGCAAATGTAAACCCAGATAGGCTGCTGAAAGTACATCGGTGTGGTGAACTGCAGATCACATTTTAAGACTGTCAAAATCAAGGAAAGACCACACACATTCTGCATTCATTGCTGCATTTCTCAGTGACATTGGTAATAACAGCATCTTCCAGTGCAGCACACTTACAGGGCAGCACTAAATGCTCTGCCCTCGCACTGTTCGTGGCTGTGATGTTATACCACAGCCTGGGGTTTGTGCTTTGCCTTTCATTCAGCTGCAGCACCTGAATGAGGCAAGCAGGGGCTTGCCAGTGAAGAGACTTCACAAAGGTTCTTGAAACACCGAAATCTTCTTAATTTGGGGCCCCTGATTCATTTTTTCTGCTTTGTGCTTTCTCTTTCTGTGTCTGAGTGTGTGGGAGGGAGACAGCAAAGCTTCCTGGGCAAACTCATGCCTGCCAGGGCCAACTCACCAACGAGCCTCGCCTGCGTACAGCCAAGCACAGTGATGGGCGCATCTTTTTCATAGTCCCTGAACCCGCCGCTCCTTTGAGGTAAGCTGTGAGGCATATTCAGGTTACTGCGCACGTACCTTCCTGCAAGGGAGAGGTCAGGAGCAGTTATGTAGGAGTTATAGGTCAGAGAGATGGAAAGCATCGCATCTATTTCCTCCCTCCTGCACTACAACATCTGCATCTTGCAGGCACTGCCTAGACCTGGCTGCCAAGCAGTGTTTCCTATGTAAAACTAACAAGAACCTGACAAAATTAAGCTGTATTCATTCAAAATCTGCAAGGACTGTTCTTAATGTTTTCAAGTTATCTTTAGGATTGCCAAAAAGAAAGTAATTTCCATCCCACAATGACTGAAACACCAACTTGTACATTTCTACGGGGGGTAAAAATATCAGAGCTCTTCAAATATGACTTGGAAAGAAGGTAGCTGTAAAATCATCCCTTCAAACAGAAAAACACTTTTTTTGATAAATTTCCAAACAGCTCTGAAGCTGACAATGCCTGACATTATGGTCTATAGCTGTAGTCTCTGTCTCAAATGATGTACATAAAGAAATATACTGGGGACTTGTGGCAGATCATAGTTTGCCTATAGCCATATTACTGGGTTGCCATCTCCAGTTTGCACCCTGGAAGGCACTCAAAATGTACCCTTTTACATTTAGGACCAAGAAAAAATACACAAAGCTTTAATAGGTCTTTGCATTGGACACTGACTATCAACATCACTTCCAAATGAAAACGCTCTTTATGTGACGCTACTTTAATAGGATTTGTTCTTGCAGTATTTTTCTAAACATTAGCAAGTGCAGTATTTACCTTGCTTTTGTTGCTGCCCTACTGGTGCAGCCCTACTGTCACAGTGCTGTCAAAGCACCTCTTTGGAAACCAGAGTTTCCATCTAAGCTTTGCTCTGGGCAGCTGTTACTCTCTTTCCTTCACCTAAACCCAGAGCCTGAGGGACCCAAAGGAGCCCACTCACCTTTGGCATCAAAACACTGTGACAACCAGTACTTCCCAAAAACGACATCCATTCTCTCCCCATGCCTGCAGACGAAGAGGCAGCGCTTCTGAGGCCCTGGCTGGCTGCTTATTCTCAGTGGCTGAAAGAAAAAGTGACAGCATGTTTGGCCTTCATGAAAGTGCAATTGTTTTTCTGAGATCTGATTTGCTAATGGCACTCAGGGCCGGCCAGCTCTTGCTTTAGCCTCGTGCAGGTACAGGAAACTCTCTGAAGTTGGTTACACTGGTGTAAAACTGTTAAGTTGAGCAGAGGATGAGGCTCTGCCACATGCTGCAAAGAGCAGGGCTAGCAATAGTGATGTCTTCTCTGCATGTGGTTTGTTGTGTCCTTCTAAAGCTTGTAGAGAATTGCAAGTAGAAACTTCCAGCGCAGACAGTGAAAAGGGATCATAGAAATAAACAGTGCTGGAAATTTGTTGTTGAAAGTGTGTGTGATCTCTGTGTGTGAGGGTCCCTACCTGCACGTTTTGGCAGATGATGGTGAGTGGCCCTGTGTCCCCAGGCCCTTGGTCTTCCTGCTGCCTTCTTTCCAGAGCTCCATCGGTAAAAGCTTGAAGGGAGGGGGAAGATGTGGTGTTCAGGATTGAGTAGGACCTGCCAGAAACAGAAAGGTGTCGGCTTTGGGAGTGCTTCAAGTATCATGCCCCTGGGCTGCTGTCTGCAGGAACAGATGATAATTACTGTAGTTCACATTATTACTTTATTACTTGTATTTTAGATCTGCCTAGAGAGCACCTTGCTAGGTAATATACGCACATGAAGAGATGAACCTTGTCTTGATGGGCTTCCTATTTCCTTAGGAACAGCTTCACTGAACAGCAGTGTGCAGGCATTGGTCTGTGAGGCTGTCAGACCTCTAATGTTCTCTGGAAAATGCCAAGACATTTCTCATAGCCACAGGGCCAGCATCAGCCCCATCTGGGGACCTGCTGCATGTTACTCACCACGGTTTTGTGGACCAGTTTGGAAACTAATTGCTACAGAGAGTTCTCTTGCCTTAGTGGTGTGAGCTGCTGCTAGTTATATTTGTATAGTGCTTGGTTTTTGGGCTGGTCACTGGCTATGCTACAAATGGGAAATACACACGCTAACTTACCAGTGTAGTGGATTGCTCTCGTGGGCCATTACACATATTAAATAGAACTGGAATGTCCCTTTTGGTACTGGCAAGAAGCAAGCTGTAGGGTGGAGAGAGTCGGCACACAGAACTGCTGGTTACAGCTGACCTGCATCTCTCCTTTTGACTGGGAGGAGCAAAGAGAGGATCAGTGCTTTGCTGCTTAAGGGGCACAGTGGAAAGCTGGAGCACAGCCTTGTCTGTCAATCTGGGCACTTCTCATGGTTCCTGTGCACTAAACAGTTGTATTGCCTTGTAGGGATGTGACATGTTCAGTCTGGGTGGTTTCGTCTACATTTTTCAGTGCTGTCTATTCCATTTCCCATCTACAGTGGGAATTTATTCTCACCAGTGCTTCTTCCTGTGAAATGTGGCCAGAGGGACATAATAGATCCCATTCTCCCTCAAGATGCTTATCTGCTGACGCTCCCTCTGAGTACAGCTCTCATGCCCAGACATTCAAAGCCTGTGACCAAGACCAAGGGGAGCAAACTGATAGGCAATTACAGAACCTGCAGTGACCCTCTGCTCATTTGCTGACACTGATGGGCTGCACTTGCTTAGTCATTAAAAAAGGTTGTCATTTAATGCAGGTGATCATTTGCTTTGACAGAAATAGTTGCCTTCTTTTGCACTTTTCAGTGCCTTAAAAACATCAGAAGTTGCTTCCTGATCAGCACCTAGATAGGATAAAATCTCAGAGGAGCTTCTCATTGCTGTTAAAATAACACCCATGCTTCAACCAGTGGAACAAAAGTAGGTCATCTGCATTTTTGTCAAGAACCAATCTGCAAATTCAATCTGTCTTGTGCCAGTTTGAAGATGTAAAAAGTGCTACACTGTTGGTACTGATATTGGCCCTTTATCTGGTGGGATTGGGGTGCAAGGATGAGTCGAGGTACCAGGCAGACCTTGAAAACCAGTTAAATGTAGGAGGAGACTTGGTGGATAAACTGTGAGAAATTTGACCAGGTGCTGGGGTGAGAAATCCTGCCTAACCCTCCTGCACAGAGTACATCCATATGATATACTGCAGGGAGATGCTCAGACTGTGCTTCCAGCTGGCAGGATAAGGGCAGCTCTGATCCAGCAGCTCTGCAGTGTATCAGTGTGTGCCAAGCCCTGAGCAGGGAGCACAGGCAGGCATTCATCCCTGTGCTCAGCGGTCAGCCCATAGCACAGGCACAACCAGCTGCACATGGATATATCCTCACTAGCCCAGAAATGTGAACATCTCAGGGTGAGAAGGAGCTTAAGTTCTTAGGTAGGCCCATCTTGGTCTTTAGTTCAGTGTTGCAGCTCTCAGCCTCTTACTGCTTTGCCCGCATTGCAGTCTTTCAGGGGTACCAGCCAGGAGAATACTGAGGGTTTGTTTCACTACTCCTCTTCCTGAGGAACTGCTGCACCATTTCTGAGACTTATTTTCCCCCTAAGCCCTTGCTGAAAGGCCATGGACGCTGTATTCTCTATAAATAGATGCTTGGATTCACTGCAAATGGTGATGAAGCAAAGGCATCCTATCTCAATGTGCCTGGAGGAGAGCCATCCCCCTGTCTTCAGCCATGTCTCCTTTCCACTGCTGGAAAACAGAAACCACTGACACTATTTCAGCTTAGTCATCTTCTAAGCATAGGTCATTGTTTGGAAGCTTTTCCCAAAGGCTTGTGGTTCCTCCACTTGGCACACAGAGACTGAAGCAGACAATAGCATCTACTGTCTTCTTGATGGTGTGGGGGAGATGCATTGCCTTCCTTGCTCTTGGTGACATTGCTGTGTTCTGGAGGCAATGTCCTCCTGGCCAGGAACCCCTTGCAGAATGGAGGTGATGGAGGGAAGGTCTCTGTCATGACACAATGCCATTAGTCCTCATTGTAGGAAAGGACTCCTCTGCCTTGTCACTCACTGCTATCAGGATGAGAGGGATCTCCAGGGAAAGCAACCAGATATTGTTGCAGAATGGGAAGAAAACAGTGGAAAAAAACCTACTGGGGCACAAATAGCTTGAAAAATTAAGGTTCTTTTCTTCCCCCTTCTATTTGTACCAAGCCTGATTTCTCAGGCTTATTAAAGGGGCAAGGAATAGCTTTGGCCTCTCTCAGGGAGCCAAAATAGCCTGCTATGTAATATCTATAGTGCTGATATCCATTTGGGGGTGGAGGAGGTGACTATTTCTGGCTTTGCTGGTAATGGAAAAACAGCGCAGGGAATCATCGCAAGTTTTAGCTTTTGGATGGTGCTGGGTGCACAGATGCAAAGATGGCACCTTTTTTTTTTTCCCCTGCTGTACGCCATTAAATGTATGTGCAAGAGATCCGTGGCATTGAATGCCTGGTTTTTGTTGCTTCTGTGGGGCAAGCCAATTTTTGTACCTTTGCTGGATTTCCCCACTTCCTTGGGGCTCTGTGTGCTGCGGGTGGAGTATTTCTCCTTTTGACTTGGCAACCCCCTAATTCACAGGAACACAAGGTGGTATAGAAAATACTCCACTGGGGAGGCTTTAAGGTATAGATGTATATGTATGCACTATACAGATGGGATTTATAATTCAGATTCATTCCAAGCAGCTTCAGCTCACCAGTAGGTTGTGCTGCTACATTGGTGCCACACAAGGGGTAAAAAAAAAAACCACCAAAACATCATTTTGTTTCTAACATAGCTATGGCCAGGTGCCCTCCCAGGCTCAGTCAGAACAGATCTCCTGACATTGCTACAAATGCAGCCAGTTTCAGCCTAAAGGAGAGTGTCAAGCTCATTTCAGGAAGGTTATTTTTCACTTGCAGGATGCAGAACTAGCAGCAGAGCAGTCATGAAGTGTCCTTGACTTTCAGATCATAAGATTTAGAGCAAACAAGAACAAACATCAGCTTCCCACATGAGCGTTTCTGGCTCATGCATTTTTGAAGCTTTCCTCTTACAACTCTGGGAAAAAAAATAAATCAGCTGTTCTTTTTGCATAACCACATAGCTAGTGCTGGGCCTGAAACTACTGCTAGATAACATGAAATACTCCTTAATGCCATCACCCTTCCTGCAGGAATGGCAAGAACGGGGTTACGTAGGTTTAGGATCTGGGCGGGGTTGTATGGGATGCTGAAACAATTAGTCTGCAATTATTTTCCAGCTTCCAGCACCAATCAGAAACCAAATGTTTCCCCTACCAGACCCTGCCAGGTCCAGTCATGCCACAATGTGCCACAGCTGGCAGAGAAATGCACTTTAGATGCATGGCAAATCCTTGCATTCTGCAGAATAGAAGCAATGCCATTCCTGTTTTAGGAGACAGGGAAAGGATTCAGACCTGGAGTCTCTCAATCTGGTTTCATGGATATTCTGCCCCTGAAAGCAAAGCCTGTTCTAGCCTATGAAACAGTTCATCAGATTTGTCTCTTAGTGATGGCAGCCTCTTGGTCTGCAGCTGAGGCACAACCTTCTCATAGGGCAGGGATGCCTTTTTGTTTTGTGTTTGTCTATGGAAGCACTATGGAAGTTTGTGTGCTGGGCAGAGCTCTAGAGGCACAATTTGGATATTTGCCCTGAAACTGTGTCCTGCAGAGGCCAGAATTCAGCTTCTGCATTGCTTGAGTAGTGCAACAGGGAAATTTTTTCAGGAGAAATGTTCCAAAGCCAGTTAATCTGCAGACACAAGTGACCTTATGTTGCTGTATTAAGGATTTGCTCAAGTATCTCAGAATAGCATTTTCCTTGCCATATCTGTTGTATGGTACTGCTATGGTGCTGCAGCCCGGAATGAGCTGTATTTTAGCAGTGGTCTCAATAATGCATGATTTTCACTTGAAGAATGCAGTCTCTTGTGACTAGGAGGGAAAACTCAATGGCTATTTTTTCTTTCTTCCTCTGCAGGAATAAAGCAGGACGTGGCTGTGTACACAGAGGCAGCACAAAGCACTGCTCACCACCAGCAGCCCCACTCCCAGCACTGGGCACTGGTCCCACCTCCTCCATGTGGCAGCTCTGCAGTCCCGGTGAGTAGTGCCATGCTTTCTTTCATGTCTACGAAATAAAGTTATTTGTGCTCCATTCTTACCAAGAGGATCTAATGGTGAACATCTTAACCTGGACGGCAGCTGGGCTTTGGTTGTGTTTGGCTTGCTATATTGTTTTGACCAAATGACATTCTGTAACCCAATATTCCCTGTGGGAAGCTGTTGTGTAAAATGAGACTGTTTCCGGGTATATAATAATGTTTTTGATAAATGCTTCATATTGCATGCTCTGGTTCATGATTTATAATCTTTAGCAGTAATCAGGGAAGGGGCATTTCCTTTCTTTGCTTGCCTGGAGACAAAGTGGTGCTGGAGTTAGAAAATGTTTGGCTTTCCTTTTAGCTGCAATAGTAATTGTTCCCTATGCTAGTCTCTCTAGGCCTCAAAATCCTTCCAGGTACTGTAAGAAAAAAAAGCAGAGTGCAGAGCAGGCTGCTGCAGTATCTGTGGATGTGAACCATTTTGGATGGGAACTTTTGTGGGAAGAAAAGACAATTTTTGCTGGATTTTTGCAAATGGGAGGGTCTGGATTAAGTCCTGTCTTCAATCAGACTCACTGATTGACTTTGTCCATGTGCCCTGATTATAATTTTGCTAAGCCCTGGTTAATGGGGGGTTTTTCTTTCCTTATCATGGAAGATGAGTTGAAGTTTGGCAACAGATATGGGATAGATAGGACTGTTCTGTTTGGCCCACATACGAGTGGAAGCCCTTTATAAGTGGTAACCATTTTTCACAGGGCAGGCAGAAAAAGAATGGATGGTTGTGACAGAAGGGATGAAAGAGTGATCTCTTGTTGTGCTTATCCCTGCCTGAAGGTCTTCTGGGTTGGGGAGGACTCAGGGTGAAGCCAGGACTGGTTTACAGAAGGGCAGAATGGTCACTGCCATCACATCTGGAAGTGAGCCTGGAAGCTACATTTGCCCTCTGTCTGCTCTCCATCTGTCGCTCACCATGACGTGTGTGTTGAGCTTGAAAAGTCACGAACAAAGAAAAAAAAGCTGTTCTTTTTTTTCTCTTTTGTTTCCTGCATTTTGCTTGACTTGATGAGATGTTGGATTGATTTCTACTAAATGCTGAGTGAGGTCAGTGCTTGTCCTGTGCTGACGTGGGTGTCACGTGCTCCCTTTCTGCTCTGACACTCTCGCCACAGACCATGTTTGCCCACTGAAATTTGTGATATCAACTGCCTGCATCTGGTTCTGTATCTCCATCCTCTCCCTCTGTAATCTGCTGTGTGACCATACCCAAGCCTCTGCACCTGCCTGGGGTTATTGGACAAACAGCAGGCAGGAATGTGTCTTTCTGCTCTCCTTGTTACTGTGTGCTCTTATAGAGAAGCTACTCTCTATGCTCCTGTTGTGCCAAAGGTGTTTGGATGCTTAGGGATGCAGACATCCCTGTGGGATTTGCCCAGACCCACCAGTCCAGCAGTAGGCTTTTACTGGGTTTATCTAATTCCTATCAAAATCAAGAGGCATAAAGCATAACCTTATTCAAAAATCAAGGTCTTGATTCTCACTGAAGCAAATGGCAGGCAGGTGACTAACTGCTCTGAATGTCTTGCAAAGTGTCTGAAGAAATCTCACTGATCCAGTCCTTTTCCCCATGGAATCATTCACAACAGATCTTGCTTCCCAAATTAAAGCACAAATTCCAAGCTTTGTGACCCAAGTCCCACCACAGAGATGCCTACACTGCAGTGGCTGTGCAGTGGCCATCTGCTCCAGCTCTGTCAACCAGCAGCAGCCATCCTATAAGTAACAGTTGCTGTAACATCCTAGCTGAATAAATCACATCATTCTCTAATCCCATGCATGGGGATAGCACCTGCTCTTCTTTTGCTTACCAGATGGGGCTTGGTGTGCCAGAATGTTTCCCCCAGAGCCACCTTCTCAGCAGCCCTGGGAGTCTCTTCACTTACCCAGGTGAAATTGCAGCTGCTGAGCTCCCTTTTTGCAGTGACAAGAATTAGACTGAGCAGCTTTACGTACCCATGGAACACCCAGGTCCCACATTCATCCGCCTTCGTGATGTAATTTTCAGGCAGCAGCCCAGAACAGCCGGTTGCAAGGGAAATGCCATAAATCCAGCCCTCACTTGTACTGGTTTGTTCCACTGGGGACATGAAAATAAAGTCCCCAGGAACCAGTTCGAGTTCATCATCGTTCTGGGGAGTGTAAGGATAGATCACTTGTAGAGTCTGAGGAAGAAACAGAAGCACAAATGAATAGAAGGGTTGTTAATGGAAGGGAACTTCTAGCAGAGTGGGGCAGGGGCACTTCCATGCCAGACCTTTAACCTTTTCAGCGTGTAAGCAGCTCTCCTTATCATGCATCTCTTTGTGCTTCATCCAGGAAAGCGTTACCTTGAGGGAATTCCTACTGTTTCCCACTCCTAGACTGCTGGAAAGCTTTTCTTCTCTCTCATTTCAGTCATGTCTTTGACAACCAGGAGGGGATGTTTTTTTTTAGTGAGGGCAAAGACATGAGTGCGTGCTTAAATGTAAGCCTTTGGTTGAAATGGAACTGCGCTCTTCTTGTGACCTGCAGTTCACAGCAGTTTGGTGCTCAGTGGCCATTGTCAGTGTAACCACTTGTGCTTGACCTACAAGAGCAGTTCTCACTGCTATTGCTTTTGAAGTTAAGGCAGAAACAGAGCTGGGGGTGACAACAGATCTGAATCTGTGACATCCTGCTCTCAGAACTGTGTGCTCATAGGTGATGAGTAATACTGAGCTGTGACCACCTGGTTTTCTTTGTGCTTCCCAATGTGAGCAAGATAAAATAAAAAGTAAGGTAAAGATCTGTAGCTATAATTCTGTGATCTGCTTTGCTCTGGAGCATGAGGAATCCACATGTGTTGAATGTCTACCAGTGACTTTCCTTAGGAATGGCTGTGGCAGTCCTCACTGAAGGGGAGAACAGGCACGCTGCTGGCCCTGGTAAATGTAACTCCTTCAGTGATACCATGCAAATAAAAACCAGGATCATCAGCTCGGATGGCGTCAGCCCATTTGGTCACTGATCCTCCTAGATATCTGTGGTATCTTCAAAGGGAGGTGGCAGCTAGTCACTATCACCTGATACTACAAGGCCAAAGCTCTGGCACGTGGCTGCCTTCAGTTAGATAGGCACAGATGTGAGCTGGTTTTCAGCAGCAGCTCCCTTTGTGACTGGTGATAACACTGACTGCTTGCAGCTTCTAAAGGCCGAGTTGGCTCTTTAGATAGAGAAGGAGGATGGTGCTCTTCCTGGAGGTGTGTTTCACTGCACTGACTGCAAGGAGAGCCTCAGGTGGCTAGCTCAGACTTAGACATCTGACCTGGGGAAGCATACAGGACATGAGACCAATCTCCTGTCTGATTTCTCTGTGCCCCAGGTCCCAATTTGCAGAATAGAAATATATAATTTATTTTCCATATATTGTGTTGGAGAACGATAAACATTTCTTTTTGGACAGAAACAAACTCTACAGCACGTACCTCGTGGTTAACAAAGCGTATGTCTCGGGAGAATATGGCAGCCACCCAGTCACAGCCCAGCTTGACATCGATGTTCTGTGCCAGCTTCTCCAGCGTGGGCAGGTGGCTGGTGTGGAAGTGATAGGCCAGCGTCACGTGGAGCTGCTTCTTGTGGGGCTCCACGTGCACATCTGCAGGAAGATGTCAGTTAGCAACGCAGGGCTGTTGAGATTAGCAGCTTTTCTAAGGTGCGAGAGCAGCTGTGGGGCACAAGCAGGAGGTGGTAGGTGCAGCTTTTTAAGATAGCCTAAGCTGGAGGTGAAGTTCACTAAGATGATACTGGAGGTGAGTTCTGAAAGGGCTTTGGGTAAGTCAGACGTGGGCTCCCTGTGTGTGCTGTGCCTCTGATTGAGCCATGGGATTTGTGGTCTGATTCAGTTCTTAGTCACACCAGGGTGGTAGACCAAACATCCTTGCCAAACTGCCAAAAGTCATTTGAATTCAGAAAAGGGGCTTTTCTGGATGGTGTGATAACAACTGTTGTAATGCACACACACAGGCCTTCTGCTAAAAGAGACTTCCTAAGTGAGGAGCAGCCTTTCTGTCACTGGGAGCTGAGGATCTCCTCTAAATAAGCAAGTGAAACAGCATTATTTTTACTATCCCTCCTCTCTCTTATGGTAGAAATTACAAATCCATGTACCCATGGATATCCATAATTCATATTCATGTAAATTGATTACATCTTTTTCGTGAACATTAGTTGTATTACTAGCTCACTCACTGAGGGAAAGGTGTTCCTAAATTGTGAAAGCAGAAATATGTAAAATAATGATTCAAAATGATCCTGAAGAAATAGAATCTAAATCAGGAAGAGATTCAGGGAAGCAGAAAGGTGGAAGTATGTGAAAACTGGGACTCTCCCAGTGGATGTGGAAATCATAGGATGCATTGTTTGCATGTAATCTACTTTTGCTTATTCAACTGAAAATTGCAATTAAATTTGACTGATTATTCAGTCAGAATTGCAGCTATTCATAGACTTGGCTGTAAATGCCAGCCAGGAGTAGCTTCGCAAGTTCATCCATCTTTTTTTCTTTTTTTTTTGATCAGTGAGAGACAATATGCTCTGGGACTCCAAAGAAGCCCCACAGACTTCAGTGTGATAACCTGACCAAGCTGCACCCTGCAGTGCAGCAACTGCTGCCCCTAAGAAAGAACTGATGGGTGTGGGCTGGGCTGGAGGTTGGCTGGCACTGAGCAGGGCTGATGGAAAGGCTTCTTCCTTTGTCAGAGCACTCTGGGTCTTCTCTCAGAGCTCTGTGTGCATCTCAGAAGTGCAGCCAAGGGCTGAACGCAGCCCTTCTGAGGCTGAGGAAGGTTTTGTGGCAGCGAGTGGAGCAGGAAATGCTCAGCCCCGCAGGCTGCAGTCTGTCTGAAAGGTTAAAGAACCGCCAAATGTCAACTTCCCTTTCAGGAGCAGCGCTTGACACTAAGTGTGAGGTGATCTTTAAAGTGAAAACCTGCTGACAAACAAGGCATACGGAGGGGTGCTGCTCTCAGACCACCCTTGGTTCAGCTCACAGGTATCACTGCTTCCCTGTGGGCAGCCCTGACATCTAAATTCCCGTGCATGCCTTATGTTAATTGGGCACTATCCCTTTGCCTGCTCATGGAAGACTGCTAGGTTAATGCAGAAGATGACCTCTGAAATGGCCACTTCAGGAGAAGTGTGGGGTTTCATATGGTGTAGCGTCACTCACCTGCTTTGGAGGCAGCCTCTGCAGCAAAGTCTGCAGCAAACTTCTTGAGCACCTCAGCACTTTCCTCCTTTACAAAAAGCCCGATGAAGTTGGAGGATGTGTAGAGTTCCAAGGGCAGAGGGGCAGGGAATTTGCATTTCCAGCGCATCACAGTGGCCTGCAGGGCTTCAGTGAGAGCATCGACCTTGCTGTCCTCGCACTGCCAAAGGAAACAGGACAAGCACTACTCAGGTGGAGAGCTGATCCCTGTGCCTGTACTCAGCTCTGCTGTGCACTTGGTAGAGAAAGGGAGGCTCAAGTGGGTGAGCGTGAATAGTGCTGTATGAATGGTCTGCCTCTGCTGGCACACAGTGAGAAAAAAGCACAGGGTCACAGAAGCAGGCATCTTCAGAAGTCCTCTGCCCATCCCTTGTCCTCAAAGCGGGATCAGCTATCCCCAAATAACCTCCTGAGCCTCATCCCCCCACACACGCTCTTCTCATGTTAACAATCATTTGTGATTACATGAATTTGGTCTGCTGCTCTTCCCTGAAAACAGCTCGTTTAAAACCCAATTACCTCCTCACCAAGCCCAGGCACTTCTTGTCATAACCCCTGAATTCCCTTCTGCAGCAACTGAATAAAGTGTGCAGCATCTCCAGCCTGAGCCTGGCAAGGGCTGCTCATGCATGCATACATAAAGGCGGCAGAAAGAAGATCTGGTTTACCATAAAGAACTGGCACAGGGTGATATGTGGGAAAATGTTGTGAGCTTTGTTCTTCCCGCAGATCTGCTTTGATTGCTGCCAGAACTCTGAGAGCTTCTGAGCCAGGGGGCCGGTGGGGCGCAGGTAGAGGACGTACTCCCGAGGCAGGGTGTCATCCAGGAACGGATCACCCACATGGGAGAACAGCCTGGGAGGGAGAAAGGAGGGTTAGATTGGCATAGAAAGGTGTTTTCTTCAGCAAAATCAGTTTCCCCTGTCCTCGCCCTGTTTCCTTCTCTGTTCATAGAAAAAAATGAGCTCTTTGGGGTCAGGCTGAGGGCTGCACTGTCTCTCTTGCAGCCCCTTGCCGCTACTAAGTAACACAGAAAATTGGATTTTAGTTTCAGACTGAGAGTCTGAAGATGTAACCTTGCTCACTGCCTCTGTCTTTCTGACATTCAGTGTGCATAACGTGGTGGGGAAAGCACTGGAAATGGCTCAGCATCTCTGAGAAGGTGGCTCTCAGTTTTCTCTTTGGGCATTGTGGTGCAGGGAGGACTGGTTCCTTTCTCTCCCCCTTTTTTACTATTGCTAGAGATGACCAACTCTCAGACAAGGCCTTTTTCTCCATTGTTTATTCACAGCCCTCAAACACTGGCTCTCTAATTGCAACTGTGTTTCAGGCCGTGTTCCCATCAAAACATCTGCAGTAACATTCTGCTTTCTAATGGCTAAAATCTTAGCCACTAAAGCCACCGATTCCTTGTACTCCTTTTAACATGTATTACTTCATACCAACCAGTCGCATGCTGCTTGGACGCTTCTTCCACCTGTCGATGCCAGTGCTTTTTGTCTAAAGAGAAAGCAAAACAAAGAGAGCATTTCAGTGCTGGAGATATATGGATAAAGTCACATCTGCTTTTTGGCAAGATGGGCACCTTTAGCCTCACATTAATTCTGCCTGAATTCCCTCTAAATAGGGTTGCATGTTATGAATACATACAGGAAAAACTAGGAGTCAAACTCTGGGGGTGAAGCTGAGGATAATTAAAAGTAATTGCAGCCACACATCAAGCATCCAAACCATGGGCATCCTGTGTTGCAATCTCGTCGTGCAATTATTTATCTTGGTCCTAGGGCTGCTTTCTGCTGATGTGACCGTGGCTGAGGCTCAGCCCTGACGTGCAGGCATTGCAGCAGCACTGAGGACAGGAGAGATGCAGTTGCCACCAGGGGGCACAAACCTGAGATTTTCCCGGTTAGAATAACCTGGCAAAATTTACTAGCTCCCTTCATCCCTTGCTACGTGAACGTGCTCTTCTTTTGCTTATTTCCCTTCGGGGTGCCTGTATTTCCCCTTTTCACTCCAGCTAACAAGGCCGAAGTCTTCTGGTAAGCGAGTTTTTTGGTTGCAGAACAAATCTGTGTGGATTTTTATCCCTGTAGTGTTTCCAAGTGCTCAGCGCTGAAATGCAGCTGTGGATCAGCTCAGCTTTGTAATGCTTTGACTGCCAAAATAAGGAATCCACCCAGAATCCAGAAGGCATAAATATTTAAGAAAAATTATGAGTGAAGGAGGCAGAAAAGGATAAAAACGTTAGAGTTTGGGGGCAGAAATCAGACCTCAGCTGAGTGTCAGGAGGCCAACGCACCTTGAATTCATTTCAAAGCTTCCTGCTTAAAGGAAAAAGGGCAGCGTTGCTCTTAAGAGCTACAGATGTGGTAGGAAGGAGGTCAGACTGAAGGGGATGTTGGTTTAATCTAATTCACAACAGATAATCCCTCAGCACGCACTTGTGCAAAATGGTGTGGGAGGAGGAAGGGCTGAAGAGCACACAGTGTTGGCAGTGGGGTCAAAGGCAGCCCTCTCCAAAGACAGGGGAAGAGGAGGGATCCCATAGATGGCAGTGCCAGAAACGGATGGGGGTGTCTCAGAGCTATTAATGACAAAATGTGACTGAGGACAGAAAAACTTCTAGCTTACAGTGGTTGGCCTCAAGCAGTAACCTACTAAAAATGGTATGTTACAGTTTAATGATAATTCAGGAAGCTTGCTGACGTCTTGAAGCCAGAGAGAGTGTGTCTGACCAAAGGGACAGATGTTATGTGCTGCAGGAGGGTGTCAGGTTGGCTGTAGGAAATGGTCCAGGTGAGGGAAGAGGGTCATGATCCATGGCTCTAGGATTAGGGCAGCAGGGACCCGCCAGCATAGCTTATGCCCACAGGGCCACATGAGGCATTCATGTGCTTACCCGTTGCCCTTTCTGTCTGCAGTGATGACTTTTGAGGGTGCTCTGATAACCATGCAGCGATGTGAAATGTCACCCACTTGGTCATAGACGCGTGTTGTTGACTCAGCTGTGTTTCAGCTCTGCCACTGGCTTCCCCACCCCTTGAATATACATATTTTTGTTCATTTTGAGAGTAAGAGGAAGGCAGAAAGATAATGCTGCAAAAAAGGGCTGTGTTGCAAATGTGTGATTATGAAAATACTTCCTCCTGAAGCGCTCCGCTGCCCTTATCTGCCAGCACTCATCTGAGATCCGCTGGTCCCAGCACCTGGCTCTGCAAGGACGGACCAGCACTGCGGTTGGTTCTGTTCTGCCTGGCTGACCTTTGCCTAGGCTGGCACAGATGTATTTTGCACAACGGCCACTGCTTTGCTTGCAGTAGTTCTGCAGAAAGCTCTCCCTCTGCGCAGGCTGCAGAGCTGTAAGGAAGGCCGCTCCTTGGGCAGAGCAATGGGCAGCTGCCTCTGCTGACCACCCATGGGTTTTCTTCAATGTGGTTTCATCCAACATTTCTGTTCTGTTGCTTTGCTCATTTGACCTCCTCCTCTTGCAGAGGCTCTTTCCTATAAATTCAACTCCCTAATCATTGTTAGGAAACACATCTATCTGTGTTGTGTCCGAGGCAGTGAATTCAGAATGCCCACCTAGAAAAGCTCTGGCTTTGAGATGAGCAGTTTCTCCTGCTGCAGAGTGCAGGCAGACAAGCTGCTCTCCCTATTTACTCTCTCCAGCCCCCAGAGCAGATCTCTGAAGGAATCTAGCAGGGCAGACGGCTCTGCCACCCACCCTTGTTAACTTGTTGGCTTCATGAATTGATGTTGCCTTGGAAAGCTGCACAATGGAGCTCTGTTGGGTTTGTCTGCTGCTCCTTCCTCACTGCCTTTGTACTCCCAGGACCCCAAAGAGCGTCAGAAAGCACAAGGCTGGGCCCCACACGCTTTTGTTCATGAGCAATTTCAGAAGGTGCCTATCTCATCCACAGGGACAATAAACTCCCTTTTCAAATTAATTTTCCACACAAGGAGGAAATACTGCATAAAGCAAACAAAAGGCAAGGTATATTTTTATCATGGGACCTGGAGCTGAGATATTTTCTTTTTAATTTACTGCTAGGAATGCTGCTGATGACTGATAGTTCCTGGTTAGGGCAGGCACTGAATCTCTCCCAAGTAGCATTTTCTATAGCCAGGACCTGGAGAGGACCCTTCCTCTGGCTGTTCCTGCTCTGAGGCCCTGGCAGGATCCACTTTTAAGAAGCTGAGTGCTCAAAACCCATCCCAGCTATGCTTGTCCACTTTGAGAAGTGGCCTGATTTTCCCAGCTGCTGAGTGGGAGCTGGAAGACAAAACTCAGATCCTGAGGAAAAATCAGGTCGCTTAATTAGGTGACTAGATATGGCTCAGGTGCTCAGATTTACCCATGCTGGATAGCAAGAGCTGACTGCAGCACTGCAGCTAGGGGTAAGAAGTGCTGTTGTGACAAGAGAAAAGAAAAAAGCCAGAAAATAACTTGTTTTTTAGAGTCCATCCAACTGCCATCGCACAGTGACCATTTCTGGTCATGCCAACACTGCAGCTGGATTTAGAAAGGGTGAGAAGCCTTGTACAGCATTAGTAGCCACTCAAGCCACTCAATCCTCCATATCTCAGCTGCTGCTGCCTCTGGAGATGAAGTACAGGATGCTCAATCAGCAATGCACAGAGAAATGGAGGGAGATGCTACATCCAACTGCAGGTGTGCAGAGGGGGATGCTAACAGCAGCACCTTCCAAGAGCACTGCAGGGATGCTAGCTACTACAATGAATCAGGTTTTTTTGATTGTTCAACCTCACTCTTCAGTGTCAAGTTGTAAGGAAAGTTTCCCTCTGGTTGAACGGCACTGAGATACTGTTAGGAAGTGTCCCAGCTAAACAATTGGACCCTTAGCCTGAGTCATACATAGTATCTATTCTGGAATACATATTAATGTGTAAGTGGTGCCCATTTTAATCCCAGCCCACTTAATGGGAGAGTGCAGAGCTCTGCACACTACGGAATTTAACTCATTATTGTTGAAGGATTTTTGGCTTCCTGCAATTTCAGGGTAGGAAAAAAAAAAGCAACAGAGTAATGTCAATTCAGCTAGGAAATATATATCAATAAACATAAAGTATAATGGCAAAATCCCATTTACTTCAGAGGAAATGACTGTAATGGGGAATGATGCATTAACCATAAAGAGAGCCTTCGGTCTCAGTAGCACCACACAGAAATCCTTTGTAATTGCTCAGCTTTCTTATTCCAGTCCAATTTCAAAAAGGAGGGTGGCATTGCTGCCAGCAGTGCCTCGCACACAGCCTAACGAGAAGCAAAGTTAATGCAAATTGCATCGGAGAGGGACAGGGGTGAACTATTAAGAGGTATTTAAATGCCCGGGTTCCATTTTCTCCCTCCAGTTGAGATGCAGAGGGCAGAGAGCAGCAGTCACACGGCCGTGCTGGGGGTGCACACAGTGCTGGGGGCAGGCAGGGAGATCCCCATGCAGGGGTTGAGTCATGCAGTGGTGCTGAGCCTTTGGGTGCAGAGCAGCCATCTCTAGCAGTGATGTCTAATTCATAAGGAGTTGGCCCCTCTGGCTGCTGCCTGGGGCTGAATTTCCCCATTCCTGTTGGCTCTCCTTTTGCTAAGATAAGCAGAGATCCTCACCCTGCCATAGGCACAGCTGACCCTTTGGTTTGCAGGAAGGAGCTGGCCCTGCACATCGCTGCTCACAAACGCCAGCAGCAGCCTCTACCTCAGATCCACCTACGAGCTGTCTGCCTACAGAGGCACCAGGGATTTGTGAATGAGCAATGGAAGGACGGAGGCAGCCTGCAAAAGAAAAGGAATGACTAAATCTTCCCTTTCATTATGTGCCTCAAACCTAGACAAACTCCTTATCCATGAACAAAACCCCTCGGAGGGATGAATTCATCATTTCAAGTAGCCCCGAATCTTTGGCCCATAAAATATTTAGCTGTGTAAATAAAGATTTGCTGGAAACTGCATTAAATATGATGGAAGAACTTGGCTCTCTTCATCATTAGGTTCAGTTTGAAGCTGCCTGACATGATAAGATAGCAATTATGGATCATAATTTATGCTAAAAGAGTTTGAAAGAGGAATGCTGCCCCACAGAACATTTTTTTAGGTTTATAAAATAAGCAGTCTTATTTTTGCTTGTTTGTGCGTGCACACAGAATAGGCATTTATGCAACCAAGTCTTCAAACAGGTGCATGTAGCTGTTTCAACCCTGACATTTTTGCAGTCTGTGTTAGTTGATAGTAAAGGAATAACAAATAAAATGCTGGCTTGACAGGAGGACAGTGGGTATTTGCAGGATGGGGCTGCAGCTGCTGCTTGGAGCACAGCTGTCAGTGCAGAACAGGCTGTAAGGCCAGCACTTAACTCCCATCAGCCTACCTGAATCTGTATCCCCTGTTATAGCACTAATTAAAGGGAAACAGATATAAATTCTTTGCAAACAATGAAATTCCCAACTTTTCTGTCTTTGTTTCCAAACTGCCCCTTAAGTGACATTTG